GCGGATCTAACAGAGACTTGCGCTCCCCTTAGAACTGCGAAAAATTTGGATGGCGAGTGGCTTGAAACCCTAACAACTTTTGACCTTGCACTTGATCGGATGACTGGAACAAAGAAAACCTTAAATGGATCTTTGATGGTGGAAGTTCGTTCGACTGAGAACTGAGAAAAACCTAAGATGTTTGTTCGACAGCCGACTCTGCAACTCCTCTCTTGACCCTCTCCCCTTACCCTCTCCTCTTACTCTCTCTCTCTCGACCCTCTGCTCTTAYTCTCTCTCAACCCTCTCTCGACCCTCTCCTTGACCCAAGTGACCCTAACCCTTTTGACCCAATGGATACCCTCGACCCAACCCACCATAACCCTCTTTTCCTTGACCCTAATGGGTCATTTGACCCATATAACCCACTACTGAAATGGGTGACTATGGGTGGGTTTTGAAGTGGGTGGGTTGGATGGGTAAGAAGGGTCAGGGACAAGATTGCCATCCCTAGCTACAAATGTCAATTATTAAATAAACTTGTAATTTTATTCATCCAAATTAAAATTCAATACAAAACAACTTGTTTCCTTTCTTGACAACCATTGGAACTTTAATCATACAAGAAAGGAAAAAAAAAGAAAAATTATTCTGAAGTCCATGTGCATAGTACACTACAGCCTTTAAACTCTCTTTCTCTTCTTGTCTTCTCATGTACATAGTAGTAAGTAGACAAAATCCTTGAGCTCTGGATGATTTCCTCTGAAATATTGAACCCGGGTCTCCTGTAAAATAACCCATCTAGATTCTAAATCCTTATGGTCCTTCACCTTATCAGCAAACAACTGAAACACATCCTTTTTGGCACCTTACTTCTGCAACTAGAATATTATGAACAAATTAGTAAACTGTATTAACAAAGCAACCAAAATACTGCATTCAAAGAATTATTCTCAGTTCAGTCAGCCAAAACACATTTTTATTAAATACTCTCAACTCATATATAACAATCCTGAGAAAAGGTTATTCTCAGTCTAGCATTTTAGAACTTCCCTCGTATTTGAATCAAAAAAGAAACCCAACTTCCCCATATGCAGTAACCAGCATTTTCTTTTACATTTTACGTACAGATGAATGAAGAAGATTAGAGCTGGTTTTCTAATATCCATCATGAAGAAGAGTGAAATATTCCTGCACGCAAAATTTAAAAACAAAATGGGTGATTTTAGTCTTTGTGAAAGGTGATGAAACAAAATAGTAGTTTCAATTTTCAGACATACCCTGAAGAGAATAGAAAGACAAATACTTCACTCTTCAGAAACTCAACATGGAAAAATCAGAATAAGGATTTTGACTTCTATTTCTGGACTCAAAAAAGAAGAAACTCAATCTGTATGGAAATAAATTAACAATATAAGCCAATATCAGACCCATAATGCCCTTTGCTCCCAAGAGAAGGTCTGGATTTTACCTCCATAAAAACAGCCCAGGACAGATTTCAATACAGAGATTGAGCTGGGACAATCCAGCCTTGAACCCAAATCTTTTCAGATATTACTGATAGGGAAGGGACCCCAAGACTATTCAGAATTATTTTTCTTCTCCTCCTACCTTTGTTCTCTCTCAATCTGCAACTACTCCATCCTAGGGGGTATACATTTCTTCCAAGGGGAACTATGGGGACAAAACCTGTAGAGGTGGTCCAAGGGTCAATGTTTCAGCCCTGCAATTCCTCAGAGACTGAATGGTGATGTCCAAACCATGAGGGTAACTTGCTATCAGCCCATCCACTGATTTCCAAACCTATAACCATCACCTAGCTTTGTTTTTCCAAAGCCTGGGTCCTAAGATAGACAGAGGCAGCTGAAAGCTTGCTGAACAAATCTAGTGATAAGAACAAAACTAAGGTGAACTACCCCATGGTTTGAATCTGAACCCAAAACCTGGGCAACCCCAACCCGCAACCATTCAAGATTAAAACTAGTCTTAAGATTGCAAGACTTTTTTCTTTATTAAGCATCCAAATTGGGTTCAACACAATATTGTTTAGCTTGGGTAACAACTCTGAGATCTAGCAATCAGGAAAATGATTTTAGAAAGGCATTGGTCTAAACATGTATCAGAATGGAAAAGATATTAACGCACTTCTTGAAATACCAATGTCATAGCAGATTACAAGATGAAAACATACTTATGTAAACCCAAGAGTGCTGATATATATGAAAGATGAATCTGTCAAATTCTATTGCCTATCAAAAAAACAAAAAGATGAATCTGTCAAATTTTGGTGCAATCCAGTTAGAGGATTTGAATGGACCACATAGGGCCTGTTTTCTGGTCAGTTGATCTAGCCATCTTCCATTTATTTCTGCTTTCAGATATTTGTCCTAGTCTTTATTACCCCTCTATATCATTTGAACAATATATGAGCAATAAGATGGTAATAGAAATATAGAAAAAATTCATTCTTTTGGAGATAGAATATACTAGCAATTCCTTCAGAGCAAGAAGCTTTGCAGTCTCAATAGCTTCACCACTTGATACCTAGAAATTACACAAACATCATAATATAATAAATAGTAAATCAAATATTTTGCAGAAGTAGAAACTACATTGATGAATTATAGGAAAAGGAAAATAAAATTAAACTACAGTTCAAGGGCCTTCATGGCAGCCAAAGGACCATGACCAAGTTATTCTGTCCATGGATCCTAGAACAGTACAAGATTATAAGATGAGTGCTTTAACCCTATCCAACCTGAAGCTTACAATCTACCGATTACAAGCTCATGAGGACCTTGTAACCCCACCAACTCATTAACAAAGGATTAATATCTCATGGGGGTTATTTAGCAATCAATCAACTTTATGTCAATGTCTTTTGCTTAATTAGTGATGCTTCAGAAAATGTCTAATATGAAGATAAATTCACATGTTCACCGAAAAAGATCACCTAATCAAAGGTTTTAAAGGTTTACATGAAGAATATCAATACATTTTTCTAAAGTTTTCAAATTTCAAAGTAACCTTGGTCTTACTAATGTCAGTTACCATACCTAGCAGAAATGGGTAACCATCCTTGTGTAGCTCTTTTTCTGGTATGAACTATCTAATTATAACATAAATTATAAATAGTGAAAGACCCATTAACTACCTGCCAGCTAATTTAAGGCCTTGAATCCCAATCAATCTTGTATTCCAACATGAAAATTCCTCACCAAAAAGTAGGAGCCTAAACTAGTAGAGATGAGTTGAGATTTGCACATCTTAGCCTCTGACCTCTAACTCAATAACTGATAGTAGAACTTAGCTCAGTTCAGCTCATTCAAGTCAATACTTTGATACTAGGCAAAAATTGTGGCCCAAATGCAACATGAAAATGTCAACCTTAACCACAGGGTTTTTCTTTTTGAGAAATTTCTCTGTCCTTGTTATTGTACCCCCAGTTTTGTTGCGGATGCATTCATAGGGAGGACGTACAGCCGCCGACAGCAGCAGTGAGGAGGGGCCCACAAGGGGCCCACAAAGGTGGCAGCTTATCTTGGCTCATCTTATCTTATTCTTAGTAGTTTTCCTTATCTTCTAGAGTTTGATTTACCTATTAGAAGTATGAGTCTGTTGATCCTAAAAGTGTGAATTATCCTTATCTGTGAGTATTCGAATTCTACTGGGAGTCTTCCCACACCTCTTGTAATCTCCTATTTAAGGAGCTGCAAATTGAGAATAAAGCATTCAGTTTTCAGTCAAGAAAGAGTAGGAGAGTTGGGGTGATCTCTTGAACAAATCACCCTCAGTTCGCCACCATAGGGTCTGCGCGCAAAGGGAGGGGCAAGGGGAAGCTAGGAGTTCTCCCCGTGGACCGACCCGTGACAAGATCCTACGCTAGGGCCCATAACAAGTTTCTATTCCAGAAACAAAAACATTAACCTTCCCAGTTGTGCCCTTCCAGGCCTCAGGTTCAGTGCCCTTCTAAATCTCAGGTCCAGTGCCCTTATCTAGCTAATATAGTCCCACTTCAATGAAGGTAAAGAAAACTTGATTTTTGAGAGATACATGTAAAAGAAGTAACTCCAAACCAGATTAACCACAGAAAGTTGACAATCATTGCCATGAAATGTGGTCAAGTTAGTCTGATCATGATTTGGCAGTGACAAAGTTAGACAAATTGGAGCATCTCCCCACAATTCTGTAATGATCCAACATGAAGAGGTTGCACCAGATAAAATGATAGGGATCACCAGGGGCAATACCCTGGCTAATGACATGAAGTGATAACAGACCATCAGTTTCATAAATGTAAAGATAAAATATTCAAAACATAGTATTGTAGGATGGTTGTGAAACATGGCTGGCAATACCCTGGCTAATGGCATGAAGTGACAGACCATGAATTTCATATATGTAAAGATAAAATATTCAAAACAAAGTATTGTAGGATGGTTGTGAAACATGCATGGTTGGCAATGTCAAATATTGATGGAAGCACTTCTCTTCTAGAAGCATCTACCTAACATGGAATCAACTCACTTTCCTTGGTGTAATGAGGCCTTTCTCCTCTGCATCTATAATCATATATACTATGCCCAGTCCTGCACGTTGGAACATGATCAAGAGTAGGAAATGAAAAATGATAACAATAAGTAACTACAAGTCTTTGACTAAGAGACACAACATCAGCTGAACTCAATAGAAACTTAAGTACAAAGTACAAAGTACAAAGTAGAATGCTTGGTTTAAAATTTCAACGATTCTTCAACTTTGTTAGCTGATCCACATGAAGGGGCCTAGCTTTATTAGGAATAGACATTCATATAGAGATGTAAATAAGGCCTACCTAGCATAGATATAACACTCCCAATGTCTCCCTCACACATAGCAATATATGTACACCTTTCACTCTTAGAAGTCTGAATCAAACTGCAAATTTCACATAAAAGACAGGTATTACTCTTCAATAAAAAAATAAATGAATGAACCTCTACTTAATTTGGAACTTGCATGCCTTACCCAACTGAGATAACCCACCAGAATGAGTATCAGATCGTAAAGAGAGCATAAGAACATAACACAGGGAACCAAGAACAAGGAAGGTATTGATAAGAAAATAATGGAATATGTTATTTGTATAATTTACTGATGATTTCTAGTAATTTTCTTTAATTTATGCAGATTTCTTATAATTTCTAAGAATTTTCAATAGTTACTGTTAATTTATGAGAAATTTGAATAGTTTCAATAATATTTGGAAATTTTTTATAATCCGACTTGGGGATAACTCATTGCGGGAAAGTGGAGACTAATCACTCATATTGAGATTAGATATGCATACACGGGCATGAACAACTGCTAGTGTTGGAACCTCCTAGCTACAATAACAGCTAAAGCCTAGCAAGAAAAAGTGAGTTCACAATCTTCAATTGTTGGCAGTAGCTAGAAGAAGACAACTTAAAAATAGTGTGGACGACACTATGGAAGTGAAATATTAACAATAAATAGGACAAATGACGAATGGTTGCATTCTTGTTGATAAAAACCTAAAAATAGAAAGCTAGGATTTGGTTCGTTGTCCTTTGTGTCTATCACTATCATCAATTGATTAGTCTCCACTTCACTAAATGAAAAAATAATACAGACGACCTCTGAACTTCGAGGATCCCCTGCTACTCGCAACCACTAGACAAAAGGAATTAAAAGGAAAGGTTAAACAATTGTTTCTTTCTTATTTTGTCAAAGTCGGATAATCGAAACTGCAATCCATTAAAAAATTACAGATTTCTTACTCTTCAATAAATATTACCAGATCATAATCAATTTCAACCATAGAGAGAGAGAGAGAGAGATTACCTAATACCAGCGTCATTGTTGGGTGTCGCCTGGGTGAGATTTCAAATGTGAGAGAGTATATGCGAGAGAGAAATAGGGCGGGAAGAGAGTGAGAAAGGGAAGAGGAGGAGGGGGAAGTAGCACCCTAATTCGCGCCCTACTTGCAGCGGCAGTCGGTCCTGTCTTAGAGCGGCAGTTTAAAACGACTGCCGCTATAGAATATTATTTTTAGCGGCAATCGCCAATTAGCCCATTTTAAAACTGCCGCTATTTAGCAATTAGCGGGCCCTAATAACCAATGAATCTCTAATTTACCATTTTATTCATAAGATTGTACGACACTACTACCAATTAACGCCATATATTACCTTAAATAAAAGGAAAATTCCTAATTAGTAAACTTTGTGCCTAATGCCATTTTGGTCCCCTAACTTTATAACGTGACAATTTAGTATCTAAATTTTCATAATATGTCAATCCGGTATTTACCATTAACCGACAATCAATTATTTGTGTCACCTGACATCATGCACATCTTATAACTTTTAAAAATGTTAAAATTACCTTTAAAATTAAAACACTATCCATCATCTTCTCCTTTGAAAAGATGAAATAGAGTCCAATCTCTCAACAACAAACACCAAACCCCCCCTACCAAAAGCAAAGAGAAAACTCAGTGAATAAAAAATAACTAATCTCATTTGAAACTTATCTTCAACCCCGTGTTTTGGTTATTCTTCCCCACCATTGTTGACGGAAGTCCGGGATTGCTATTCTGTCATCCCATTATGAAGTCTTAACCCCATTTGTTGTGTTACAGTATTATCTTCAAATCACTCACTCACACATGGCTTTTAGAGTTTTTCCTTTTGTTTCATATTTTAATAATTATTTATTTATATAATGATGATGATGGTGGTGACATCATATACCGCGATAGTAGTAATGGTGGTAGTGTTTTGTGGTTTATAAGTGCCTATTTGGTAAGGATGCAACTTGGGCCAGGTTGGCCCGAACCCAACCCTAACCCAATTCAAAAAAATTGGGTTGGGTTGGGTCGGGTCGGGTTGATATTTGGGTTAGGGTTAAGGTTAGGGTTGAAATTTATGAACCCGATTTTACTTTGGATTGGATTAGGGTTGACCCCTTAGCCAGCTCGAACCCAACTCTATATTACATGTTATATATAAATATATGTTATATGTAATATGTAACATATATTTGTTTAGATGCATGATATTTGTATAGCCCCCACTACATAGTATCATGTATTTCTTTTAAGATAATTACTTCACTTAATCCTAATCAGAAAGATAAAACCTTAATAATATTATTTTATGTTTTTTTGAAAATTTTATTCTTCATCTCTTCTATGTTGTTTGCCACTCAAGAAAGATCTATCATAAGCCATAAACTTATAATAAACTATAGTTATTTCTAAAACTTGCTTTTTCTGAATTGTGTACCGAAAAAACAAAACAAAAAAAAAACGCCAACAAACAAATACTAATGAAACACAGGATTATGTAGTAAAAGTTGAGTTATGATCTAAAATCGAGAAATTTATGAGGTTTTAAGGGATGGGAAGAAGATTGGGTTGGGCCCAAAATTTTGGGTTGGGTTAGGGTTAGGGTTGGACTAGGATTGGCCTCAACCCGACCTAACCCGGCCCGACTTGCAGCCCTACTATTTGGAAAGGCTAAAGCGCAATGGCTTCTTGGCTTTCCCAGCCATTTGAATAATCATCTGCTTCAGCCTCTTTAGAGCAACTTAAGCTGAATCTTCAGTCTGCACTCCCAAGCGGGCCCCTAAGTTATAACACGGATGAAAGCATGATTTAGTCTCGCGTGACTTTTGGTGCTTGAAGTTCAAAACAAAATAGCCGGAATACCTGTCATCCCATAAAATGACGGTCTTCAATCACTATGGCATCCATTTTCTTGCAGGAAAACAGGTTTTTTCGATTGATTATCAAACAGAGGTGTCTCAACGTCTCGTGGAAGCCTCACACAGTGGAGATCTGAAATCACCATTAGAAGCATCACCGATCCTTGGTCGACATTAACTTCATCAATGTTGTTTGGCTCAGGTAAAGACAAAGGTCCTACTAAGTGATGAATCTGCAAATGAAGTTCGGACCATTCGGACCGAGTACGAGGAGGTTGATAAAGAAAATTAAAAGGGACAAAAAATTTGACAATTCGTTTTTATTCAAAAGGATGGTTGATAAAGAAAATTACGAAAGACATTTGTGTCTTTTCATATGCCATTTAAAACAGTTGGTTAATGATAGGTACCAGATTGACATGTTTTGAAAGTTTAGGTACTAAATTATTGTATTTTAAAACTCGGGGACCAAAGTGTCACTAGGCCCAAAGTATAAGATACTAATTGAAAATTTAAAAAAAGGTAAATTACAAAGACCCCCCCGTACTATGGGGTTTGTGACAAAGACCCCTGCGCTTTTTTTGCAACAAATATCCCCTGAACTTTGGCCGTTAGGCAAAGACCCCATCGGCCATTAAGTCTGACAACACAGGATGCGTTAAATTATCAAAATACCCGATTAAACTTTCTCTATTTTTATTTTTGCCAATTTCTCTTTAGAAAATAATTGACCCAAAAATACCTTTGATTAATCGCCGAAAAAGGAAAACTACTGAGGGTTGTGCAATCGAGAACTGTCTACTCTTTGATTCCTTCACACATGACATTTATATTAACAAAGCAATAAAAAAAATATGCATGATTTTCTAAACCTTGGCATCTGTATCCATACGCAGAGGCTTGTGTATAAACTCAGGAAGTCCATTTTCGACTCCTGAGGCATAGTGGCATCCTTGGCATCTTGCATGTTTACATCATTTTCTCCAGTACCAGTGGGGGGCTAGCTGCATCACTTGGGACCTAATCAGTATCCATCTTTGTAGCTTCCTTAACTGGCTCCTTTACAACTGGAACTTCGACTGCTTCTTCTTCCAGTAGATAAAATGGAGATTAAAAGGAGTCTATAAAACAACAAATATCGCAATTATGATAATAATGCATTACTTACAGTTGCAGACTCAAACAGATACAACGCCATGAAGATTCAAGCGAATTTTCACCTTCAGCTTTGCATGTTCACCTTTTGCAGATTTGGGTGGACCAATCTGTAAGGATACATTTGAAAATCAAAAAGGAAAAATTAGGAAGTTCAAAACAAAATGTCATACAAATATGAAGCCAAAGAAAAACAGTTACTGATCTTTGCAGAAACTTTTAGTTCACTCATATCAGCATAATGGGCATCATCCATGAATGTGCCTGGCCTGTAAAATGTCAAAGCCTTTGACACTAGGAATTGGATTTCCTTTTGGGAAGACAATGGTGCTCTGTTGTTGATCCATTGCGCCATTCTGGGCATCTGGAGCCAAACCTTTCCAGGACAATGCAATTGGGAATGGGAAGCTCTCATTTACCTATTTGAAGGTTAAAAAGAAGATTATCAATAAATCAAGGTAGGTCTACGAGTAAACAAGAAAAAAACAAAATGACATGTAGCAATAAATGTCTGAACAAAATAACAAGTCTGAATGTAAAATAGCAGTTTACTTTGTCGTAGTAACAACAATGAACTTTGTGAACGATCAATTGTTCCGTGAATCAACCGGAGAGTTTGCAAACCAGCAATTGTAGCTGCATCCAAGACAGCTCTTCTTTGAACATCCGTGAAATAAACTGGGATCCCGATACAGCAATCCACAACTGCTGCACTCAGATTCTTCTCCGCTATTCTCTTCAGGTTTGAGAGCACCATTCCTAGAAGTTGTGCGGGGAGAAACAACAAAAACTAAAAAAAAAAAGAGTAAAGCATAAAGAGAAGTGATGATGTGCCATCTGTACTCTCCTAATCGGAAGGCATCTCGAATGGTGGACTGTCACATGGCCGGTCGAACTGCAAGACAAGTAGATTAGAGGACCTGGGGTGTTTTACCCGGTGCGGGCACTTTGATGCTTAAGTTAGCAAAGAATTTGTAGTAGCGAGCTATTTGCTTGTAAGTGAGAGAGTCTAAGAGCTAAATCACACATACCTCATGAGGCTGGGGGTGATGCTCTTATATAGGCGAGCTGTTGTAGGCCTTATGAAATATATCTGAGACCTCTGGCCCGCATAACCAGGAGTCTATTTTGTACTGGGGATGGACTTCGTGTGAACTGATAAGGCTTATCGAGTTTGTCCGATCTGAGCGGGATAAGGTTAAGGCTTGTTGACGTGCGGTGTGATCCAAAAAAAGTCGGAGACGACTAGCTAGCTTCTAGAAGAAGGCTATGTGGCGCCTCGGCAGGTCATGACACAACAAGCTGCTCGCACCTCAGTCTTGGCTTAGGTGTCCGCGTGCTAACGGGTCAAGCCAAATTACCCCTCATCAGGAAGGAAACAAAGAAAGAGCATGACTATCACTGAAAGCAAAGAAACTTCTTCTTCTTCTTCTTCTTTTTCTTCTGTAACAACAACACTCTATTTTCCATTATTGTACCAAAAACAAGAAAAAGAAAAAGAGATGCAAGCAATGAGAAGTTGACTTTAATATGGAGAAATGCAAAGATGGCTCCAAGCAGGGAAGAAGATGAGGGCCATTTCGAATTGTTGATAACATGCTTTTGGCATGAACTCTAAGGTGTATCAGGCGTATAGTATTGTATTTTTTGGGTCCTGATACACACCTGTTTACAGATGTTTTGGGACCTCCTTTATTTTGACAAAAAACATGTCCATAAATTAAGTTTTGAAAAAAAAAACAAAAAAAAAAATGCACATAGGTTTTAGTACCATACACCTATGTGAATACACAAAGGCATATTGAAATTTTGAACCCTAGGCTGTTTGGTTTCAGTGCAATTTTATTTGCAATTGTACAAATGTAAAGGAGTATAAATAAAAAAAATGCAAATTCTTGTTTAATTTAGCTTTGGATTTTATTTATTCTGTTTCATGCCTTAATTTACTTCAATCAAACAAAACAAGTTAAAATTTTAAATAAAAAATAGGGTAAAATTTATACTCAAATCATTTGCACTGTCATAATTTTGCATCAATACAAATTTATTTGTATTACAACCAAACACAGCCTTAAATGTGGCTGATTGCCGATAAAAGACAATGAACAGAACAAATTGTAAAAAAGTATAATGATTTCAAAAATAAAAAGAGGATTTTACCGTTCAGTCCACCCCTAAAAACTAGTGCTCTACTCTAGGGTGGACGGAATCCTGACCATGGATTGATATCGGATTCACGGGTAGGATGCGATTTATAGGGGCTACTAACAGACTAGGAGGGAGTTGCAATTCAGATTTCTGAATAGGATTGCAGTTCAAAAATCCCAAATAAAAAAGGTAATTTGGGTATTTAGAAAATTTTAAATAGTCAAATAAGAATCTTTCCAAAGTTAACTCACGAAATGCGGAGAGGATCTTTATCTAATGGCCTCAGGGGATATTAATCGCAAAAATTAAAAGTGCAGGTCTTTGTCACTGACCCATAATAGAGGGGGTATTTGTAATTTACTCAAAAAATAGCGCCGTATATTCAAAATTGAACGGGAGAAAATTGTCTTTTCGCGAAATTCAGACTCTAGAGTCTCGGTCACCTGACCATGAGCATTGAGCACTAGTCCAATAATCCAATTTAGGGGTTTTCGATCTGCTTCAGCTGGAAGCCCCATCTAAGGCTTCTCTCAGAGAGAAGACCGAACGATGGACGGAAACATGGAGATTTCGCTCGACAAGCTGCCAATCAAACGTCTGGATGCCATTGAGGAGAACGGAATCGAAAGATTTCCTCCGTACGTTCCTTTTCTTCGTCTTATTTTGGTCCAAGGATTGGTTTGGTTTCTCATGTATTGCAATTGGTTTCTGTTATGTCTTTCGCACCAGTGACATTGGTCATGACGAGAAGCGGCTTTCCCTGATTCGGCGCATCGACTTTGCTTGGGCAGTGGAGAAAGACACGAAGAAGCAGAAAACCTCCAAGGAGACGACGACGCCATGGCCATGGCAGAGCTTGGTGGAGAATTTGCAGTTGGCTCATCAAGAATTGTCTGTCATCATTGATCTCATTAACACGGTAAGGGATATTTCTCCATTAATTTCCATGAATTTTTAAGTTATTTTTTACATAATAATCTTGGAGAAACATAGCGAGTTTAGCATTTAGGGTTGAAATTTTGTGTATCTTTTTTTCTTTCTCTTATCAGTATTGGTGTTTTTTTTTTTTCTTTTGATAATTGAATTGTGATTTTATTAATCAAATGATAGACAATGCAGGCATCCTCTCCTTAAAAGAAAATTACAGAGAAAACAGTAGTGAAAACATTACAAAACAGCCCAGTACAAACTTTCCCTATTGACCCCTTGTTTGGCAAGACAATCAGCCAACGCATTTGCCGACCTTCCCACCCAGTGTAGGCTGATATTCATATTTCTAATTAACCACTTAGCTTTCTTTATCAGGTCCCTAAGCACCAAACCACTGAGTCTGAATCTGTCAGCCATGAGCCATCCCACAACAACTTTAGAATCTCCTTCAAGTATTAGGTTCTCCACCCCAAGTTGATGTGCACTTTGAATACCTTATAAGGCTGCTAAAGTTCAGCCCTATTAGAGTCTCCCAAACCCACTGGGCCAGAGAATAAGGCTAAGATGTTACCGTCCTTATCTCTTAAGACCCCTCCTATTCTAGAAGGTCCTGGATTACCTTGACTACTTCCATCAAAATTCATCTTTGCACATCCTTCAGGAGGAGGAATCCAATCTGCAATTACTCTGTCTTTCCTGGAAGAGCAAGCTGCTACAATTGACCAGTTCCTTCCAAGGTTCATCGAAAGAAAAGGATTGGAAGGAATCCATAGTTCTCAACCAATGGATTGTTCTTGTCAGAATGCAATCATTGACATTTAGGAGGCAGGAGGCTTCTTTCATTTTCTTGAAAAATCCTTGCATTCCTCTCTTCCCTAACTGTCCAGAGAGCAGCTGCTCTAATGCATTTCCACATGCTCCACCCTCTTTTAGTGGGCCACACAAAGAAGGAAGATTCAAAGTTCAAACTGTAAACAAACATCTGTAGGTGAGTTCCACCTGCACCCAAACAAAGCAAAAATCCAATTCCAAATAGATGAAGCAAAAGAGCAAGATATTAGTAAATGAAAACAGTCCTCACCATCAACTCTGCAAAGACTGCACCAGTTAGGAAACAAGCACATGGAAGGCCTTTTCTTTTGCAGACAGTCCAAATTATTGATTTTCCCAAGAAACACCTCCCAACAAAATGCCATAATTTTAGGGGGGAACTGGCCTGAACCAAACCTCCTTAACCAGAAAGAACTTCTAACTAGAAGGGGAACAAAGGGAGTTGAAGAAAGAAGCACAAGAGAAGGAACCTTTTGGATGAGGGAACCAAACTCTCCTGTTCGACTGAGAAGGGTCTAACCAGACATTGCCCAAAAGGCTCAAAAGATCCAAAATAGATACAAATTCATTGTCCCTTAAACCCCTACAAAACCCAAAATTCCAGCTTAGAGATAGAGGGAGGACAGGAGAAGGGAGGAACTGAGACACCACCTAATTTTCGAACAAAGAGATGGAGTAAAGAGAGGGGAAAAGGTCCTTGAAAGCTGAATTATCCACCCAGATGTCTTCCCAAAATAAAACAGAATTACCAGAACAAGCATCATACCTGACAAAGTTGAGAAATAAAGGAAAGACACCATGAATTGCTTTCCAAGGTGTGGATAAAGTAGCCCGGCGTGACACACCCGCATCCCACCTTATTAAATGATCCTTTTTCTCTGCCCCTGGTTCCCAAAGAAAGTTCCTCATCAATCTCTCCAATTTCTTGGCCTCCCTAGCAGGAATCCTAAACACTAAGAGGTAATACACTAGCAAATTGGTGTTTTGTTTATTTAGCTTTTCCGAGTATCAGCCAGACTAGTGAATACCAATGGGAGTACAAGGAAAATTTTTATAAAAGGCTATGAGACTGGCAATGTTATATGGAACAGAGTTCTTGCAGTAAAAAAATTATGTTTGTTTAGGGTGTTTTTTATGAATACCAATGAGTGTAGTTGAGATGAGGATGCTAGAATTGATGGGTGGTAAGACTACAAAGGATAGATTAGAAACAAAACGCATTAGTGAGGACTTAAGGTGTTTGATACAGTTTTGTTTACCTTAATCACATTAGCGTTTTTGCATAAAAAGACAAAGATTATGTTTGTTTAGGCCTATTTATGTGGAAATGCCAATACAACAGTAGACTCTAGAGTTTAGTGCAGAGGGGGGAATTAGGGGGCGTTGTTACAGTGCCACTTATGATGTGGCGTATTGGACATAAAAAGGTAAACCACTTTTCTAAGCTATTCCATTCTAATGCACCAAGGATTTTAATAAAAAGAAACCCCTTAATATGCCTAGTCAGTATATCTTTATCCAACACATTTGATGAAAAAAATACTTTGAAAAGTTGGGCATGCATTAGCATTAGATTGCTGATTATGCTTCAATGCCACGTAGATAAAAACCACCATGCCAAACACATCTTAGGAGTGGCCCCAGTTCGTGACATGATAAGGTAAAGTCAATTGAGGTGGATTTGTCATGTGCATGGATGACGAATGATTGTAAAAATGAGGAGTGACTTGGTGCAAGTAAATACTCTAAAAAAGCAAGGGGATGACTAAGGAAACATCAACTTAAGTGGTAATAAATGTCCTAAGGACTTTGAGTTTTGACAAAAAACATGGTTCTTGATAGAGCACAATGAAGGGATAGGATTCACGTACCCAGTGCCAAATAGTTGGGATTATGGCTGAGTTAAGTTCAGCTTATCCAAGTGTCAATTTTGTGCCCATTCTTGGGGGTTCTCTGGTAATAAAAGCCCTGAAGCAGAAGCATACTTTGGGCTTTTATTGTGTATGTTGTTCTATAGGATCCATTTGGTAAAATGTGTTTTCAGAACATGCATTCATAGTAAAAAGTATGAATAAGTGCTTGGAGACAATAATATACTTGCATTGTTTGACATCAAACCGTACACATATCAACTTTTCAGTAATGCAATTTGGAAGTCTATAAAAGCCACATAGCTGCATCAAATATGCCACATGGCACACATGTGATATGACATTATTTTTATACTTTCAAAATGTCAATGTCATTCACAAGTTGCAACGTAGCATTTATAGGTATGCCACATGGCATGCACTATGCATTTTCTAATTTAGTTGATCTTTCTGTCATGTGTCATCCATTGAGACAGAGAAGTGTTGAAGACAAAAAAGTGGCATATAAGCCACAGTCCACACATGAGTTGTAAAATTAAAGTAAAAACGTGGACAAAATCATGTGACCAGGAGTTCGGGCTTCATGTTCTTATGCTTTACTGTACTACTTTTAGCAATTATACTTTTTGAAAACAGGCATATCCAAATGCTATACATGCTTTCAGATCATATTTTATTTTCAAAAACATCAAAGTACTTTAAAAAAGGTGGATAGTTTTGCTTCTGTGCTTTAACTTCATTTTGAACAATTCCTTGCTTTTACAAGTAAAACCTCATGCTTTATGATGGATTGTCTGGTATATCATAGAAATGAGTCTTTATATGGTTGACAGTTTTTTTCCTCTTCAAATTCTTTCATAGGTAGAAGCTAATGATGCAGTTACTGTGGCTGGTATGATCAGGCCAAAACAATTACCCAATGAAATTCTCTCGGACCTTTCTGTATCTGCAGCAACTAAGCTGCAGTGTTTCCGGGTAATGTTTATATCTTATACTTTTATCTGTTTTGTGCAACGATAATGTCTCTTATGTACTTATGTACTGGTGCACTGCACTGTTTCCTGGTTTTTTGCTGTAAAATTTTATGGGCTAAAAGAACACTTGTAAAGACAGTTATATTATGTGCAGAAACTATTTCATAGAAATGGTAGTATGGATGCTAATCCAGAACTTTCTGTTAATCAAGTTCAGATCCTCTACAGCAAGAGCTATGGAGAAATCTCTATGCCATGCCAAAATACCCTTCTGGGGGGTGTTCCATGTCTCTTGATTGACTAACATAGTAATTTCTCAGTGAAATCAGCATATAGGATCTCAAATTCCTATATATTATATATCATGTAGCTTAAACTCTCTTTGAGACCCAAAATTGGTGATTTCATTTCTTACTCTGATGTTGTTTTTATCATATATTCTCTTTAGAATCTGGGGAGATATTTTAAGCAGTCTGCTAAAGGTTTGGAACAGCAGGTTGCTCGGGAAGCAAGATTTTATGGTGCCCTAATCAGGTGAGTCTACTTTATATCTTAGTAAAGTTGTAGTGTCCCATTACTTCAAAAATCAGGTTTCACTCAGTACTTTATCACAACCAATTTATCTTTGTCTGTTTATTTCTTGCCCCAAGACATTTTTATATAACTCGATATATTTAAATTTACCTTGAACCATTTGTGTATATTTTTATTCATATGAAATGCCATGTACATTAATATACTGCATTGTTGTTGAAGGCACGTAAGAAGTTCCCCGAATATACCCAAGAGAAAGAATGGTATAATGGTTATCAAGGCATAAAGGCATAAAGGAACATTTCATTGGTATAATGGTTATCAAGGCATAAAGGCAAGCTTGGTGACAACACACAAAGGAACACCTTGTCGTCTTGGTGATGAATTTTGATAAGTAAAACCTATTACATACAGAACATGTGCCATATTGACATGCTGATATGTCCCGAAAATTTGACACGCAGTTCACAGACTTACAGCAGCGTTCACACACTCGAACATCAACAAAAGAGACTAGTATTCATTCAGCAGAAAACATTAACTGTTGGTCGGTTCTTCGAGAGACCGCCGGCTCTCCCAAACACTCACAATATTCTTTACTCAAAGAAAAACATGCCACCCCTATCCCCCAAAGCCCTTTCTTATACTCTTTTGATGGCATAACTGACTCCCTCTATAAATGCCCAACTGGCCTAGTTATAAATGCCCAAAAACTCTTCTTTTTTCATAACTGACATAGCTATAAATGCCCCAAGACTCTCCTTATTCCCTCCAGCTATAATTGCCCTCATGTGATTAATTGTT